ATAGACACATATACACACAAATATATATATATATATATACGTGTGTGTGTGTGTGTGTATAAAAGCATTATTTCAACAGTAAAATAAATATTAGCACCAAAAGGAAGGGCTGCATTAAAAACAGCAAGACTAAATCTATGATGAAAAAAAAAACACATTTTAATTATGAAATCAAGCCTTAACAACAAAAATGTTGCGTATATTAAAAATATCACTAGGGCACAGGCAATAATGTGGTATAAGGTGTGCCCTGGGTTTTGGAGGTGGATGAAGAAGTAGGATCCACATACCATCTACCAGTCTTAACCTCTATTTGCTAGTCTCACCTGTTGAAGAAAGAAGAATAAACATAAAATAAGTAGGGAAATAGGAATAAATTTGGAGAGCAAGATGTAGGTGCTCAAGCCCACAATGTCTCACATCTATATCACCTTTCACAGCCTGTAGGCAGTTGTGGGAAGGTCATTGCTCTCCAAAGAAATGTAAAATGGAAGAAAGACAAAAATACAAGGTTCTACCATTGGGGATAAGTAAGTGAACCTTACCTCCTGGCATTGGCATTCCAACACCCATTATAGTAGTAAAAGCTGAAATTAATAAGTTAATAGTAGTACAGTAGACAAATTATACTAGTATAAAAGTATAGAACCCAAACCAAGATATCTAAACTAGTATAACTCCTAATCTCCATCCATTAAGTTTACTCGTAGAGTCTATTGTAACTACTAATTTTCAGACTTTATCTACCCTTTATAAAAGCTTTTATATTTATGTGTGATGATGGTGTTAATCTATGTAAATATAATAGTACCATCTGTTATATATCCATGTAACTACTTTGCAGGGTGTGATGGATCTTCATGAAAATTAGTATGGAGGTACATGCAGGGGTACTTACAAATTTTCAGTTTTGCATTTTGTGGTTTTAATGAGTATTTTTTACATTTTTCGTACCACTACTTCACCCCTTGCAGATGGATCTTCACCAAATTTGGAAGGTTCATTGGGTCCATGGGGAGATACATACAAATTTTTAGTTTTGCATTTTGTAGTTTTTATGGGCGTTTTTTACCACTACTTTGCTCCCTGTAGATGGATCTTCACCAAAATTGGTATGAGGTTCATTATGTCCATGCAGGGGTACATACAGATTTTCATTTTTGCAGTTTTTATGAGCGTCTTTGCATTTTTTTTACCACTACTTCACCCACTGTTGATGGATCTTCACCAAAATTGGTATGAGGTTCAT